TTGCCCATTGCTCCTCTGGTTAGGGTCTGGGCAGCAGATGCTGGGAGGGGGAGGAAATCCCTAGAGGCCTCGGAAAGGAAGGTGTGTGCTGGACACAGGGGAGCAGGGGTCTGCTGTACACAAGAAGGGACCGTGGCAAGTTGGACAGCGGTAAGGCAGGGACGGCCTGTACTCTTCCTGATGTACAATCTTTATTTCTGACCAACTGCTGAGGGAGCCACAAGAGTTTCTTTCTTAGGCACTACTGTGAGTCAGGCCAAATAGGAGAACAGGAGCCAGGGGAGATGGGAGATGGAGGGCTGTCCCAGAGAAAGTAAGAGAGAGGACTTATTAGATGAGCAGGAAGGAAAGTACAGGCAGAGAAGCCCAGTGCGGTCAGTGCTGTGGTCAGGGCTGTGGTCAGCGCGGGGCCTCATCAGGGCCACAGAATAAGGCCTGGCCTCCTGGAAAGAAAGCAATGTTCCTCAGGTATAGGGTCTCCAGCACAGAAACGGGGCCCCCAGCTTCCTGGATGTCATCAAAGGAAGGACATTCCTGGTTCCACTGGGGATGATTTATTTAGGTAGAATGCCTGGCCAAGAGACAGGTTCAGCTGACTTATGGCCTCAATGATTCATTTCCTGGAAGCGGCAAGTAAAAAGCAGCAGAATATGACTCCACTGGCCGAAGAGATAAAATATGATCCTCACGGCTGATGAAACCTCAGGGCGTTTCGTTTGTTTGTTCGTTCTGGGTATTATTGGATATATGGTTTCTGTTTTTGTGTTTGTTTTGAGAGGGAGATGATCCTTTCTGTTCCCTGAAAAATGCTAAAGATCTAGTTTGCGGTTAAAAACATTTTTCTCCTGCTTGGAAGTTGATATTATACTCCAAAGGATGCAGCTTAGGTTGAAGCCAGGGGGGTGCGGCCTGCAGAGTGAAATGCCCGTTTTTGAGCTGTAACACGGCAGGCTGAACACCCACATCATGTGGAAGGGGCACAGAAGGCCGCAAAACAGACCCTGGTGTGAGGAACAAGCAGAGACCGTGTGGCTTCCCAGCTGGGTTGCCTCGGTGGAGGAGAGTGGGGGGTAGCCCACAGAGTGAGCCCCGGGGGTGCCGCCCCCCACCATGACGCTGCCCTGCCTCCCACCTGGCCTGAAGTCCTCCCCTGAAAGGCTTGCCTTGGGCATAGAGGAGTCCCTACCCTATGAAGCTTCCTGCCAGAGGAAAGGGGACGTGTGGCCCACTTCCTTCTCCACGTTGGCCTTCTGGCCAGATGCCAGGCCCTGAGGGAACGGGGACACTGATCTCCACAGAAAGGAGGCCCGGCCTGCTGTCCGTGCAGGCCCCACGTTGGGGGTCAGGAGGAAGCATGACGTATCAGGGGCACGAGGGGGTGCTGAAAGGTGCGACGGGCAGTTGCTAGGACAAAGGTCTCCTTCTCATGACTTCCCTGGAGTATACCGTGTGCGCAGTCTGCCCGAGGCCCTCACGTCCCAGCCACCCCCATCCTCCACTGTCATGGCGGACGTGCATATCAAACAAATGGACTGGAAAAGGCCACCCCAGGACTCCGTGGGGGACAAGAGCAGTTCCTAGGACCTCTTCTCCCTGACTCTGTCACCTAAAACCAGACAGGAAAGAGCATGCTCCAAGGCACGAACACCAGCTGGCTGGTCATCAGGCCGATGGCATTGCGGTTAGGAAGTGGCTCCCACTGGCACAAAGTACCACTCACTATGGGGTTATTTTAAGTGGAGTAAAATGCTGACAGCAGGCTTCCAAGTAATGAGAAGGTAGTGGGATTTTTTTCCCAGGCCTTCATCCCACAGTTAGAGATTAGGCCTGAAAATGAGGTTATTATGGAAATAAGGAGGACTATTTTCTAGGTGATACTTTAGAAGCAGGCAGAACAAATCATTCAGATAATTTTTGCTTCCATGTGAAAATGGTTGAGGGTGGCCCCAGAGTGAAAACATTCATTCCTAGCCAGAGTGGGAGAGCAGCTGGAACGGCAGGCGGACCGGGGACTGGGCCTCACTCACTGTCCAGGGTGGGGACTCCCCCCCTCCCCCCCCACCCAGGGAGGGGCTTTCCACTGCTCAGGGAGCCACAGGTAAACTGGAAGTCTCATGAAGACTCCTCAGAGGAGGGGACACACAAATAGGAGTGAAGCTGGCTTCCTTGCTCCTGCCCCCTGCCACAGTGGCACCCCATCTGTCACCTCTTCAGGTGCCCTGAGCCTCCTGCTCCCTCTCTGCCCCATCAAAACTCCCCGCCTCCCAAGGACTTTATCTGCTATCTGCTGCTTAAAGCAAAATGAAAGCACGTCTCTGTCAATTTAAGTCTTCTGTCTAGACTTTATATCCAGTGCTTCAGTGATTACCCACAGGCTCAAGACTCTCACTAGCATTTAGAACTTACCCTGGCTAATCTGAGTTGTACCTTTCTTCCACTGGGCCACCTGGAGGACCCAGCTCTGGCCCTTCTCCAGGCATGCATGAGAAATGGACGTGTGGGGCTGACGGATGTGCTCAGCCAGAGCCCTGTCCCTTCACTTCCAGTCTGTGGGAGAGGGATATAAAGGACCTTACTGGGGCAATTGGCAAAATGTAGATAAGGACCACAGATTATAGTATCAATATAAATATCTGGATTCTTACCATAACACTGTGTTTATGTAAAAGAATACCCTTGTTTCTAGGAAATGCATATGGCAATATTTAGGAATAAACAGGGGTATAAATGGGGCATGATGTCTCCAACTTACTCTTAAAAGGTTCTGGAAACAAATGTATAAAGAAGAGAGAGAGAAAAAATGACAAAGAAAATCTTAGGAATCTGGATGAAGGGTTTACAAGAGCTCGTCCATTTCCTTTACTTCTTGTCCATTACCAACCCTGACCATGTCCTGGCCATCCGCACACAGAGAAGCCCTTGGCCAGCCCTTGGCAGTCTCTGTGATGGGAACAAACATTCTGCAGCGTTCTCCCTTACCCACCTCTTCCTGAACTGCCAGAGACCACAGGACTCCAGCCGGGTTTCTACAGACTTTCCTGAATGTTGAGACAAAACTCCAAGATACAATAGAAGCATACAATAGAACTGAGAGTAATAACGAACCTTCAGCCAAAGAAACTAAAAATGCCAAACATAATAAAACTCTCTAATGACACCTTATTTTTTATACTCAACATTTTGTACATGTTCTTCCATTTTGGTTTTTTATCATAGTCAAAAAAATTATGCACCATGTTGACAGTAAAGCTCTGCCACTTTTGGCATACCTAATAATTTCCCCTTATCTGAATTTAATAAAAAAAATATGATACCTCAACTTCAAATCACTAGCAGTAGCACTTGCAATTTTCTATTTCCAGTCATTTTTATAACATAAGGACAAAAATTAATACTCCATATCATTGGCACCCAGAAAAGATGCTGCTGCTGCTGAAACTTGAATGTTGGCTGTTGAGCAACTCCATCATGTGGGCTCAGAACGTTCACCTATCAGCTGATGCATGCAGGTTCAAATCTGGCATACAAACAGTGGTTTATGGGCCAGTGAACAAGGCACAAAAGTGTAGGTTTTATGAAACTGGAACTTACAAAAGTAAAATGTCCCATATAAACTGCCAAGACGTAAAAGTGAGAAGAGCACTTACAAAGCTACAAAAACATATTATGATGCCCCTGACATGAGCCTAACAGACTTAGGCTCCCTCCTCTGTGCCCCCATTCCACCCTCAAAACCTGTACTAAACCCTCACTATGTGTGTTACTGTAATTGTTCATTAACATATATAAACACACACACATATATACATACATACACACCATCACCCCCAGGAGACTAGGACTTCCTTAAGAACAGTGATGATATTTTATCCTTTTTTGACAGCTTCTAGCACAGTGCCAGGTATATTTAGGTTTTCAACTAAGAATTGTGGAATTAATGAATTATGTGAATGAATTATCCTATAGCCCACATCTGGGACCAGATCATTGTTGCCACTGCTTACCTCATGTCACTTTTCCGACATTTACATAATAGTTCTCATTGTTCCTATTCATCTACCAAATATACAGATTTTGGGATTGGAAGTGCCAATGTTTTACAACTTTCAACACGTATGCAATTTTCAGACTAAACTGAAGAGAGATTTATTGATGTATCTCAAATAAAAATGCTCTTGAGGGGGCTGGCCAGCCCTGTGACATAGTGGTTAAGTTCAGTGCCTTCAGCTTTGGCAGCTTTGGTTTGTGAGCTCAGATCCTGAGTGAAGACCTAGACCACACATCAAGCCATGCTGTGGCAGCAACCCATGTACAAAATGGAGGAAGATTGGCACAGATGTTAGCTCAGGGCTAATCTTCCTCAGCAAAAAATAAAATAAAATAAATGCTCTTGATATGTTTCCTAACTAACTGGAAACAGGAAACAGGAAGTCCTGAAAACCAAGCCAAAATGCAAGGTCAAGGCATTTTGGGCTGAACTTGGTCAGGAAGTAAATATCTAACTTAAATAAGCTCTCAGTTTTAGAGGTCTTCTTTGTAATAAAGAAAATAATGAAGCTATATTCTTTGTCACTAATGAGAAAAAAATTCAAAAATAATTTATAATAAGCCTAAGATTCTCTCATCTAAAGAACTAAAGTAAATCATACGATTTTACAGCCAGAAGTGTATTAAACTTCTCCATTTTATGGTGGAAGAAACTAAGATAGTGTTTCAATAAGTGAGCTTTACTGGGGGGAAGGAGACCAAATGGTGCATCAAGGTGCCCACTAGAACTAGAAGATGGAAGTGTTACTAGTGTGGTGTGACTCACTCCTTGTGACACAAACACTGTCTTAAGATTGTGTGACAAAGTCCTAGACATTTGTGAGCAACAAGATGCAATGCAAAAGAGCTCCAAGGGACCACAGAGAATTTTCAGCATGTATTTTCTGAACAGCTATGAAGTTATTTATGGCTATGACAGACAAAGGAAATAGCAAAGAGGCATTTCAACTGACCTTTTCTCCAACCATGGGAGGTAGACAGGGCCTTCACATTTCAGGGTTGTGAAAGCCTGACCAAACACATGTTGGGGGAATTTCTTCAGCTCAGCCTCGGTCATCTTTCGAAATCCCAGAACCACATCAGCCCAGAATGGCACTTCTTCAGTAGGCATGCTCCTAAATATCTGCCAACTCAAACAGATTAAGTGGAAAATTTTCCTGAAATTTTGTGAAATAGCACATTTCTAGTGAGCCCCGTGTGACATTCTCTAGGAATTTAAAAATCATATTCCTATATACATAAAGAGAAAGATCTATTCTTCCATTCTCTTAGGTTCATATAACTCAGTAGCTAAATTTAAAATATTCATGATTGGGGCAAATAAGACATTTCAAAAGTAGTGCGTCTCTTAAAGATTGAATTTAATTCTCTTTTTCTGAAAAGCTCTTGCTCAGATTTTCTGTATTTACTTACGACTGCATGTGTGAGGAAAAGTTTTTCTGTTTTGCATAGTGCTTTACATAAATTGTAAGCAAATTGTCAAAAGTTTAAAGGTTGGATTCAGTTCTGAACAAAATATCTAAATGGAATGAGCAATGGTGGGTGTACAGGAAGCAAGGGGGCAAATTAGGAGTTAAGTTGTAGGTCATCACTTCTAGCTCTCAATAAGAGAAGCCAAGAGCTTTCAGGGGGAGCCCTGTTATCATTACGTCACCAGCGTGGTAGGGGGTTGATGAGGCTGGAATAATATTGTTGTTAACAAGAAGCCTGTAATAGTGCTACCAATAGCTGCTAGGCATATCTGGATTTATAAATATTGGGTTGTTTTCATCAATAGGAATAAATGTTGTAAATCATGGCTGCTCTAAAAAAGGAAAATCATTGAACTGCTGTACATGGTTGCTAATGATGTGGTCAATAATGTACCAGAATTTATATCTCTAAATAATTCATTCAAAGCAGTCCCTGTGGAAGGTATAAATCTTGTTTGCTGCAAGGCTGTACACTGGGTCCTCTTGCTGTCTCATTCTGCACGCTCCCCTGGGCTAGATGGCCCTCTCCCTGCACCACCATCATAGGTCTAACACTCAGAAGGCTCCATCTCCAGCCCTCTTCTCTCTCCTGAGCTCCACCACCAGATCCAGACCCATGTTGCCTACTCCCCACTGGATAAGTCTGCCACCACGTCTCATACATTAACCTCTCACACACTCTTCCCCTACCCCTTTCCCCAGTCTTATCCAACTTGGAAAACAGCACCCAATCCACCATGTGCTAACACCAGAAACTCAAGAATCATGCTCAACACCCTCCTCTCTCATCCCCTACATGCCATCAACTATTGAGTCCCGTCAAATCTCCTCTTAAGCATTTCTCAAATCCATCCACTCTCTGTCCCCAGCTATCAACAACTAATCCATCCCATCATCATCCTCTCTTTCCACAAATCTGTTCTCCACACCACAAACAGAATACTTTTGAAATGCAAATATGATCAGTTACTTCACTGTGTAAAATCTCTCAATGGCTTCCCATTACCCTGGAGTTCTTTAGTCCTTCTACACACCTCTGTCACTCTAGACTCAGGTCTATGCATGTGCTATTCTCCCGACCTGGAATGCTGCCTCCTCTGTCCCTGACCCTGTCTCTGCCACCTTCATCTCTACAACATCACCAGACTAACCTACACTCATTTGGATGGTCTCCATTGAAACATCACTTTTTTCCTGGTGGCTTCTCACAACTTCCCAGAGCAAATTTATTCTCCAGTACATGCTTCCAGAGCACCCTGTACTCTTCCCTTGGTAATCTGTGTCTCATTTGTAACTCATTGGATATAGGACATTCCCTACAGACTATAAGCTGCATGAGGGCAGGACTACGTCTGCCTTTATTAAAAATTCACTCAAAACATATTTATTGAGCATCTACCATATGCCAAGCAGCATGAACTACATCGGTCATTTCTATATCCCTAATACCTAGGAGAGTACTGATACTGGTAAATGCTGATTAAATTGTTTGAAGGAATGAATAGATAAATAATGCTATATACTTACGCCAAAGAGGCACAGAACATTTGTGCCCTTGTCTTCACTTGACTGATTCAAATCTTTTTTGGAAGCAAGTGCGATAAAAATCATTCACGTGAGGGAGATAAATAACTCTCTTTTAGAAAAGCTTAAAGTACACTCTTTTTAATACCCTCAAGGGTGGCAAAGTCTTACTATTGGAAGTACATTTGCATTTTGGATACAGAAGTTTCTGAAAATTACTTAGAGTCAACATTTGTGCATTACACCAGGTCACATTGGTTTTGGACAAAAAAGTGTGACCATAAATCAATGAGAACAATTTTTCTATGTGGCTCATCAACTAACTCTGGAGACAGTTATAATATCAATCCATCTTCAGAAGGCACAGAAGCAAAAGTTGCTACTTTGGGTAGAGACTGTAGGAAATTAGTGATGTCAACATCATTTGGTGTTTGTGATGGTGAGGGAGGGCAAGAAGAGGAAAAGGGTAGAAATCTGCCTGATGCAGGTGTGTTCACAGCAGGAAATGACAGTAGATCAGGCTTGACCTCAGAAGAGAAGAGGGGAGGGTCTGGCCCCATGGCTGAGTGGTTAAAGTTCCCCATGCTTCACTTCAGCAGCGTGGGTTCAGATCCCGGGCACTGATCTGCTTCACTCATCAGCCATGCTGTGGCGGCATCCCACACACAACATAGAGGAAGAGTGGCACAGATGTTAGCTCAGGGCTGATCTTCCCCAAGCGGAAAAAAGAGAAGGATTGGCAACAGATGTTAGCTCAGGGCGAATATTCCTCACAAAAAAAAAAAAAAAAAGAGGAGAGAGGAGAGTTTTTTAAAACAGGAGAAAAGATGCAGTGGTTTTGCGAACTTAATAAAAGGCAGACATCCCTCCACTCTTCGGACAAGACCGTGTTATCACACAGTTTAACACAGATGCCATATGTGTTACACCGTAAATTAAAGACAGAAATTAGAAGTGACAGAATGGTTACTGATCTCTGTTTAAGAAGATATAGAAAGGTATGGTCATATTTTAAGTGCTAGTTATGTTAAACAGCACATAAATAGGATTTATTTTTTAAAATCTTTCACTTAATTATGCATGTCTCCTGAAATCAGATATTAAAAATCAAATATAAGTGTGCTAACCATTTCAGAAATACTTTTTCCTAAAAGGCACTTCAAAGGGCAACTTTAGTGACCTGCAAATTTACTTTTTGGAACATCTCATGCTCCAGGGACACCAAATAAATAAGATGTCCCTATCCTGGACATCTGCACCCATTCCAATATCACACTTGTTTGCTTTTTCCATCAGCCACATCATCTCACAGAATCCAAGCTTAGTATTTCCCTGCTATATGTTCTTCTAGCCATATTTGCAAATCACTGCATAATCCCTGAGGAAACTCAAAATAGTACCTGTGATGAGAAACTGCAAAGGTTGTTTATTGTTAAAAAGTCTAATACTAAAACTTGTTTTTCTTGAGTTCTTTGGTCTAACGCCAAAATGTTCTAAATCCTCCCACATCTAATTCAGCACTCGGCTCACAGCAGATACGCAATATTTTATGCTGAACTCTAAAGTCTGTTAAGATCATTCTAAATTCTAAAATAACATCAGATTTCCTCTCTTACCCAGACACCAGATAAACACCAGCATCTCCAGCTTCTGCAGAATTGGCAATTGAAAATAGGTGGTCAAAGGTCTCTCTAAACCACTGCTTCTGCTTGTGAACGGGTGTGTCTGTAATCACGGAGAAAAGCAAAGCAGAACAGAAAGGAAAACGATGATAATGACTATGCTTCACACAAGCTCCTTCCTAGAAAATGGGAAAAAATTAAGAGGAAGGGAGGACCATTCAGATAAAGTACCACATTGTGGTAGAGAATCTGTCAGCAACCAGAGTTTTGGATGTTGACACATGCTTTGGGCATCCGCTCATATAATGATTAATTGACAGAGGGGAAATTGATGACTCGGGGCAAAATCTGACATGGGAGCCAGCTGGAAAGCGATCTTTGGTACAAGGTGCATTCCAGAGATCCTCAAAGTGTCCATAACCAATCTGAGCAGAAGTTAGTTCACGGCTGAGGCATCCAGCCAGCCATACAGTTGAGACAATAGGAGAAAGATCCCCAGGCCTCTTTCCTGAGGGCTAAAGATGTGGTGGGTGACAAGGGGAGATTGGTGGGGCCCAGTCAACCAGGACAGAGAACAGACTGCACATCGATGGGAAGCCCAGCTTGCTAGCCCTTCTGAGACAAGGAAACAAGGCCGGCATTGCGGAGCTGAGATCCTCGGGAAGGGCTCCCCACAGCCTCATCCAAGGCTGCCATTACTGCCATCCCTCTCCACTCCATGAAGCATTGACCAGCTTAGAGTAGCATTCCCAGGGTCACCAGAGGCGTGCAGGGACCATACCAGGCACCACCTCTCTGTCAGAGTCCTGTGGACCAAGGCTCCCTATCCCCCAGGCATCCCTGCCAGAGCATAAGAGATTGGACCCAGACACAGCTTCTGGAAGAGTGCCAGGCCTGCAAGGGAAGCGATGAGGGTCAGGGTTCAAGACGAAAAATAATAGTGTCCAGTGTAGACACAGAGAGCAAGCATAACACACAGGCACAGACAAATCCACCTGTGGGGGAAGTATTTGGACACCTGATCCCTGAGGAAGGGTCATGAGGGAGAGCCCGGAATCAGGCCAGGGACTGGGGAACAGTAATCCTGAGGGGCAGCTACAGGAGGAGCCACAGAGGAGATGAAGGAACTGAGGCGGAGAGGATGCTGGTTCAGCTCTGCTTGGAGAGATGTCCCTGGAGTCCACAGCAGAGATGAAAAGGTCCCTGGAGATGTCCTGCTCCCCAGACAAAGCCCCCAGGTCAATGAGGGCGTTCCAGTGGCAGGGTTTTAAAACAATTTACTTGCTAAAGAGCCAATAAATATGTTTTTTGATAGTGGATCTGTGCTGTCGTCGCTAAACGTGTGCCCATGTGAACTCAACACTATATTCCAAAATTGCAGACTGGGGGCCGCTGGTTTAGAAATAAGGAAGAAATAAATAATAAGCTGCAAAGAGAACTAAATTAGATCTCATAAGGATTAAACCTCAATAATCTAGGCCAGTGTATGGGGCTGTATTGAAAGGCATCCCCTGGTTCCCATCCCAAACCTTAAAAATAAAACAGTGGCTGTGACTTGTATGCTGCAGAAGTCATCCCCCCAAAACAGACAATTCCAATTCAACAGTGGGTAGAGGAAACCTCATGACCTAATTCATGTTGAAGTGCTGGTAAAAGAAAACCGTAGCTGGAGTAGCAGTAATAACAATAGCAAATGCTGATATAGCATTTCCTGTGTCCCAGGCATGGTTCTAAACGCCTTAAACGTAGTAGCTTATTTAATCCTCACAACAACCCTATAGGATGGGTATGGTCCCCATGTGGTATTGACATTTATGATCACAGAACGTATTTACCACTGGGGCTGGTCTGAAAGAAGCCCAAAGAGAGGACCAGAGTCCTTATCTAGAAGCATCAGAGAAAAAGACCCGGATCCAAGGGCCCCAACCACCTGGGCAAAGGGTGAGCTCGGGCCTCAATGGCCTGGATGAGCCTGCTTCTTTGAAGATGATTCCATGACTATCAGCCAGCCCTCTGATAGCCTCACATGGGCCTGGTGCAAACGAAGGGGATCCTGGAAAGTGGACACAAGAACTCGGGTCACAAGAAAGGCTCCCGGTGTGAACTAGCATTCTGAAAACACACTAGGCTCCTGCGCTTGTTCCTTGCGAAGCAGCTCCCAGGAGGTACTCCACATCACGGGTGCTGCTAAAGCCAGGTTCCTGGACCTGCAACAAGGCCACTGCCCTTCCCACCCTGGCAAAAGATGGGTTTATTCTCGGTTAGGTGAAACAGGGGGTCTCTGGACTAGGAAACGCCAAGCACAGGTGAAGGCAGGGATACCGTACTGAAAACAGGAGAGCTAGGAAACCCATGTTAAGATGCAGCCCTCTTCTCCTCTCACCTTCTAGAATGCTGCCAGCCAGGCCTTCACCCTCCCCAGCCAGGAGATTACAAGCCTCTCCTCTGGGGAACAGGACCTGCCCAAGAAGAAGGACTCAAATATAATGACATCAGAGGTTCTCCAACTAAGCAGCCCCGCCATCTACTCCAATGAGGCTCACGACAACAAACCCCAGGCAAGCACTCAGAAATTCCCACCCACTGTTTAGGGTTCTATGCTTAAAAGTCAGCAGACAGGTAAAGATGACCGCATGGCTAAGGAAAACCAGCAAGATGAAAAATGAGAACATCAAGCAAAAAAATTAAAACACTTGGACACAAGAGAAACTATGCAGGGAGAAGAGACTTTTAAAACTATTACTAGTATCTTCAGAAAGGTAAGAAAAGATATTGCAACAACAGAACACAAATAGGATATTATAGCAAAGGAAAATTCAGAGAACAAAAAAGGGCTTTACAATACTAAAAATGCTGTGGTAGAAGGGAGCTGAAATAGTTCAGTTGGGAGAGCATTAGACTGAAAAATGCTATAGTAGAAATAAAAAATTCAGCAACAAGGTAAAAAATAAAATTGAGAAAATCTCCCAGAAAGTAAAACAAGAAGAGAAAGAGATAAAAATAGGAGGCCGGGGGAAGCTAAGAGAACTGAAGGACCTATCCAGGAGGCCCAGCATAAGAGGAATTCCAGAGAGAGAGACAGGTATCAGGAAGGAGAAGTCAACAGCTGAGTAACTCAAAAATGGCTTCTTGAACGGAAGAATGTGAGTTTCCAGATTAAACGGACAGGGCCATTTTCACAGACTAGATTCCTGTTCTTTGTAACTAAATCTTGTAACCATTTGATGGTTTAAACTATGTGCATGTACAACTTTGATTTAAAAAATAAAAACTAAAATGAAAGGAGAAAAAAGAGAGTGGAAATGCGCAGTGGAGACAGTGAGTACAAACCTCATTAGCTGCAAAGTGATTTTGGTTCCTATTTAATGCTCTTTCCCTCCACCTCCCATTTCATGAGAAAAATAGAGACTGCAAAGGATGCGTGGACATGTTTCAAAACATCAATGCATCTTTAAGGCTGAATACATGTTGACCGATTGTTTTTATACTGGCTTGGAAGTTAGGATAATTTTGTTTCCATTACAAGTAGTTTCTGACTTGATGGTCATTGCTGGTATCAGTGGAAGACTCAGTTACCAGTTGTGGTAGTGCTTAGTGCAGTTCACTGAGTACTGGCTGTCCATTTGAGAACCTGATAGAATTGCGCTTCCTGGCCTCCTGCTGGGGGGGGGGGGGGGGGGGGGGGGGGCGGAGCACGTGACTAGCACTGGCCAATGAGCTGTCATCAGAAGTGATGAACGTCCTTCCTGCCCAGATGAGACCCCCCGGGAGCTCCCTTCCTCCAGGTACAGGTATTGACATTCAAGATGGCGGCTGCTCCATCACCTTAGGTCCCTGGGTGACGAGCAGAACCCTTGGTGATGCGCAATCAACATATACTGAGAGCAAGTAATAAACCTTTGCTTTTTTAGCTGCTCAGATTTGAAGGCTGTTTTTGTCCTGCAGCATAACTCAGCCTTTGCTAAGAGATGAACCAATAAGATATTAAAAGGGCACACCACGCTTGCTTACGTGCACATCCAGCTGTCTTTGTCAACAGAATTCCACCAACATCCTTCTATCTAACATCTATGATGTCCGACAGAAGAGCTAAAATCCCTCTCACCTGGATAAGCGTGCGGAATAAGTATTCCGGCTGCCACATCACTCGTCGTATCGGGAGTAAACTTGTCTGCAATGACGGTAACGGAGCATCGTGGGACCAGCGTGGGAATGCACACGGCGGTCGAGAGCCCCATCAAGCCTGCGCCCACAACCGCAATCCGGACCGTATCCATGGGCCTGTGAGGAGGGAAAGCGTGGGCTGTCAACCTCGCTTTAAGGATTATTCCATCCAGTACAAAGTTTGGTCCGGAGGGTTCTTTCCTTAGGTCCACATCCTCTCAAAAATAAGACCTTTCCTGTCAGCGTTTCTCGTGGGCTAATGAGAGCTTTAAGCTCTCTTTCCATTAAATGTTGGGTTACAGGCAACCAGGACTCGACAGAGTTTTAGACATTGGGGCAAAACTGGCCTGAAGTCACCTTTAGAGCACAGGACAGGTAAGCGGGTTTGCATTTGTTGGGGGAGGGAAGGGGGGCGGGCATGTCTCCCATTCCACTCCTTTCCTGAACCACTTTCCCTGTGGGCACAACCTAGGGAAGGCTGATGAAGAAAGCGAGGCGACAAGAGCACCAGAGCTGCTGTCTCTGCTCTCAGGAACTTGCTGAGGAGCCGCCACTGAGAGGACACCACCCACGGGCGTTTAGAACTCAGCTCTTACTGTCTACAAGGTTGTTTTTAATTATAACAAGGTGACAGAAGGTTTGAACAGCGGAACCGGGCATCTCCTCTTCTGCTCCTCACTCTCAGCAGAAACCGAGGCTCCCCCCGCCTTTTCCCTGACTGGGTCGCTGCCTTTCCCATCCCCATCCTCCCCCACCTCGGAGATAAGATTCCTTGGTGGATTAATCGGGTGCTGATTCTGTAAACTGGGGAGGGACCCATGGTCTCCTAGCCTCACCTCCCTCACCTAAACCAGGCCAGGTGAAATCTTAATTAGCTCCTCTAGGTTACCCACTGAGGTTGTCTCGTAAAGGGGGCTTCTTTCGAGAGTCCGTGTGGAAACGCAGGCAGCAGACATCCAGGAGCCTGGGCCGGGCATCCGGAGACCGGCACCCAGCGTGGGCACTAGGGGATTGATGGAGACTCAACACCCTCTGCCCCGTGGCTGCTGAGCAGCAGGAGTCCCCCGAGCCCTGGTCCGCTGTCAGCTCCCCTGTCCACGCTTGCTTCCCTGCTTGTCTTTCCACTTCTGTTCTTGCTCTCTGCCTAACTCTCTCCAGGTCTCAGAGTTAAACTCCAGAGACAGAAAATGCAATTAGTCTACTTGGTCATTGCCATCCCTATTGGACGAAGTTCTAGCACCAGTCCAGTTTATTGGACTAAGCCAGCCTATAAATCTGCCCTTGGCACAGTTGCCCTTCCCTGTCTAATCAGCAATAGCCAGGGCATCAGGTCATGTGGCACAAATCATGGCCGTTTGCAGGTAAAGATTGACCTTTCCTCAGGAGGGGGTGGGGCACTTCCCTCTGCCGTGAGCAGGACAAAGCAGTGGCGTGGGCTCGGCTGTCAGTGCTCTCTTCCTGCTCTGAAGGTCTCTTGCACTACGATACTTAAATTAAAATCCTCCAAGGAGGCTTAATATGTGTAATTTCTATTTCTCAAACTGTATATGCATTTCCTGGGCCATTAGTTAATCCGATTGCTCCCTAATGGGCGGTCTAGCTGAGAAGGAGCAGGATGCCAGGGCAGAGGGAAGAGAAGAGAAGGGTCCAGGGAAGGGGCAGGGGAGAAGGCAGCCGCCTGTCCCCTAACTGGCTTTACTGTTTCACACTGGCCTCCCCTGCCCAGCGGCTTTCTCAAAATAGCTCTAATAAATTAAGTTGAGAGGGAAAGTAATCCGTGGCTGAGAATGACCAGCTGCCCGGGAGGAGAGAAGTGAGCCAGCAAGGTGGGTACATCTTGGCCCTGTCACCTGTGAACTGCTGTCACCTGATCCCATTAAGGCATACCCCCCAAACTCCCAGAGTATGCACAGAATGACCCCTAAGCCATAAGCAGGAGGATTCAAGTACCTGTCTCTGAAAAAGCAGCCTTGGAACCCACAGAAGGCTCTGGCACCAACACTTGTTTTCCCAGTGAGCAGTTGGTCTCGTGCCCTGAGAGACTGAGGGAAAGCAAAACTGCCTCCCATTGGGGAATTCACTACGGGCATTCCCTCTAATCTGACTCTCCATTGGCCTGTACGCCTGTGTCTTTGTCACTGATTCTCCTGAGAAAGGAGCGATTGACCTCGTCTTGTGAGCTCCTGGAGCTGTGGCTCTGCCGAGCCTTTGGCAGCTGGTCCACCCTTAGCAGCCCTTCTCTTCCTAGTTTACAAACCCTCCATCTCACCACCAGCCTGGGATTTGTAGGTGGAGTAAACGATGGGTGAACCTGTCCAACATCCAGAAGCTCCAGCTAGAAGCAAACACTGGTTTCCTCATTTGGTGCCCAGAATTAGCTGCCCCCTCCCACCAGTGCCTGGCTCTGCTGGGTTGGCTGGTGAGGGTGACAGTGGGGGTTGGGCGAGGGCAGAATAATGACCTGATTGAAGTTAAAAAATTATTCAGGAGATAATCTAGGATAAAAACCAAGCGATTCCTTAGCCTACATGTTCAAAGAAGGGAACCAACATTTTCTGGGTGTCCACCATGTGCTAGACACTTTACAGACAACAAGTTTGTTTACAAGGAGGCAGTTTGATGTATCAAGGAAATGACAACAATGTTGTAATTAACATGTACTTAGCGTTAACCATGTGCTAGAGATATGCATGACACCTTATAACACACCACGTGAGAGGTAGGTACTGTTATTTTTCCCATTCCATAGATGAGCAAATTGAGGCTCCAAGAGAATAAGGAAGGGCCCAAGGCCTCTTAAGTGGCAAAGCCCAATCTGAATGTCAGACTCCGAGGTTCAAGGTCTTAACAACCAAAGTACACACTGTGGTATCAGGAAATCTGTCTGTTTTACCTTGAGCAAGTCACCTAACTTCTGAGTTTCAGTTTCCCCATTTGACAATTGAGAATGAACTAAGATTTCTCTTGCAAGTTGTTGTGAGCATCTGCTGAATTAAGATATGCAAAATTCTTTGTAAGGTGGTATATATTATATATTTTATTGAGCACCTACAATAAAATCAATCAACAAACATTTACAGAGCAGGCACTCTGTCCAAAGCATACTGCAAGGACTGTGAAATACAGAAGGATTTCTAAAATCATGTTTTCTCCCTCAAGAAAGGAAACAAGGCAGGATAAGACAGTCCTCTAGTACGCAGCACAAACTGTAGGTGGCGTGAGAGCTCAGGAGAGAGGAGAGCATGGTGGACCCACGAGGCCAGTCCTGGGGAGAGGATGGGAAATGAGGAAGGCGCTGAAAAGTCAGTGAGACTTGGATGGACAAAGAAGAGGAGGGAGGGAAAAACCAGGAGGGAGGATGCTGTGAGCAAAGCTGCAGAGTCAGGATGTTCAAAGAGAGCTGAGGAAACAGCGGGTGGCTCCAGGGGGAGGTCTGTGCAAGAGCAGAGTGTGAAAGTGCTGGAAATCTGGTCAGATGGAGGACTGTATTTGAAAAGCAATGGGAGCCATGGAAGGTCCCTGAGAGGGCGTCTTCTTCTCCCTGCCCAGGTCAGGGCTCTGCTTTCCTCTGCAAAGCAAGAGGAGGAGGAAACATTTAGAAACGAAACCAAGAAAGCTGTGTGTGTACAGCTAACAGGGCTTTTACTTTTTGCTACACAGAACTGTAGCGACAAGACTTGAATGAGGGGTCATTCAAGAACTAGTAGGAAAACCACTTTAGGTGTCATTGAGGGTGAGAGTTAAAAGGGGCCTCTGGGACCGTCTAGCAAGATCTTATGTTGTCATTTCACAGTCGAGTGGATGAGGTCCAAAGAGTTGAAGTGATCTCCCTGAGACTGCGGCCGAGCTCAGCTTCACACTCCTCCCCAAGAATTTTCCAGAAACTTTTCACCTGGGCTCCAGAGGTCCCCAGAGCCTTGCGTGCGCAGTGTACTGGGGGCCTCCCTGCTCACCCAGCCGCTCCTGCTCTGCTGTCTATGGTTGTCAATGGCTTGTGAGGTGATAGCCTTGCTGGGGTGTTAGTCTGCCTGTAAATGAAGGGCCTCAGCCGACAGAGCTTGACTTCTTCAGAAGGCTATTAAGGAGGCAAGGCTCACGGAGCCAGGGATTCAGCCACGTATGGCTACAGGTTGGGGCAGGGAAGCGAGGAAGGAATGAACTCAGAAAGATGCAAGTCTCCGATACATTGGCTACCCCGACTCCGGGTGCAGAAGTGGGGCAGAGGCTATAATTGAACCCTTCCTTGCTTGTAAAATAATAATTTCAAGACTTACTGGAACATCTGTAAAAATCTCCAAAGTTTGATCCCCGATGGGGTAGGTGAGCCCAGGGAGAAGCAGAGAATGAATGCGAAAAATGAATTTACTGAGGGAACTAGCAGTTGTCAGTAAATATTGATGCAGTGTGGACTTTAGAGATAAAATGAGCAGCCATTACTGACTTCTGGCAAATTCGGATAAGACATGAACACCCACAACCCCCAAGACACCCTGTTGGGGAAAGTGATCACGGACTCTGGCTTCCATAGTTCAGCTTTCACAATCATAGATAAGAAAATACTCCTCTTCACCACTGCAAGAATTTACTAAGTACCCCTTTGCATATGTCATTTTACAGAATGAACTGCTTGTACTTAGTATGTTTTCAGTAAATATTTGATAGGAGTGAGAGAAAGGGGAGTCCCTCAGAACTGATCATTCAATTGAATACATTCAGAGAACATTTTCAATCTGAACGTCCCTCACAACAGACATTTTAACAGCAATTCAGGGGAGGGGGAAAGATTCAGCTTTTGTGGGGTCTGAAGTTTATACAGTTTTAAGAGTCCCCTTTAGGGAAAAAAACTACAAAATCATGAAAATAAGAATGCCTGTAATCACTTTGATGCATCTGACAGAAGAGAAATGTGACAGAAAGGAGACAGAGTGGAAAGAGACAGTGGTCTTGACTGATTGCAGTGAATATATTTTACTTTTGCAAAATTTATGAAATTTTGCAAAAACTTATGAACCCATTACTAAGGTCTCTCACAAGAGCCTGTGCAAGTGAGAGAAGTGAGCTTGAAGATTATGCTTCGTTGGCTTCACAGGAAGTCTTCCCTACAACTACCATAGGCCAAACCAATCAGCAGAACCATCTAAACTGCAGCGTCCACAAGGGGGAAACAGTGCATGTTGTAGGGCACAATCAACGCAGGACAGTGACAGCGTGATGGAGGATTGACAGATTGGCCCCAAATGTCCGCTGGCCAAGACCAAGACTAAACAGGACACTGACTACGCTTGCCTTGACCTAGTGGTGAAATAGTATACAGAGCATGGAGAAATAGCATTGCACAGTATCAGGGCTGTGCAGGGTGGCATTAAATAATGTAGATATAGTATTACATTTCATCTGCATAGTCCCATGAGGGGCATTTTATTATGATCTTGAATTTTCAAATGAGGGGGCTGAGATAAAGAAAGGTTGATTTGCTTAACTGGGAGGGCCCACAGCTAGGCTTTTTTTTTTTTTACCCACAAGCCTTACTGCCTCTCACACTTCACTGCCTAGTCAAGTCAAGTTGATGTATGGACTACAGTTAAACAGAGTTGGTAACAAGGTCACCTGCCTGAAGTTTACCTACTTGTATGAGGCTTATTCTCTGAGCTTTCCAATGCTATAGTAAAGTATTCCTTGAAATAGTTACCAGAGTCAGATCTGATGTGCTATGGCTATTCCAACTATCATAGATACATAACATTACTATTTTTCAAGTGTAAAATCAGAAGGCTGTGTATATTAACAAATGCCAGAGGAACAAAATGTGTTTGGTGTCCTGTATGACAAATATCTGGAACTGTTATGAGGAAAAGCAGAATTTTTCTCCCAATAAAGAAAGTTTTTTTATTTCCTTTTGACTTAAAAACATTTTTTTTTATCAAGGTTGCTGGATATAATAGCAATATACAAAAATCAACTACCTTCCTTTATGCGAGCAGTAGCAGTAGAAAATATATTAGAAATTTAGTGTTTCTATTTGTAATAAAAATATATACCTAGGAATAAAGGTAACAAGAAAAGTTCACGATTTATGGAGAAAATTATACTTCATTGAAAGATGTTAAAGCTGACCCAAGTAAAAGGAGAGATAACCACGATAATGGATAGAAGGGTCAATACCAGAAATAGGGTAAATTTTCCCTACAATTAATCTAAAAATTCAACTCAATTCAACTTGAAATCATGACAGGCATGCTCAGTAGTATCAGTGGGAGTGTGGGCCCCTGGGTTGCTGGTCTGCAGTGAAAATAAGATTTCTCACGAGCAGTGGAAGCAGAAAGCGTAGGCTTGTGGGCTCCCAGGCCAATTCAGGCAGCAGCCTCTTGATCTCTTGGTAACTTCTCCATTTTGTTCCATCAGTTCTTCCGACACTTTTGTAACCAATTCCCTGTATTAAATTCCTCTTTGCTTGAAATAGCTCAGATGGTTTCTGTTTTGCTGGCTGAACATTTACTGACACAAATACATACAAGGATGTTATGGATGGAATGCTGAGGTCATGAGGGTGGGGCCTTCATGATGGAATTAGTGCCCTTATGAGACAACAGAGAGCTCATTCTCTCCCTGTATGGGCACAAAGAAGAGGTCATTTGAGCACACAGTGAGATTGCGGCTGCCTACCAGCCAAGAGAAGAAGCCTCAGAATGAAGCCCACCCTGCCAGCACCTTGATTTTGGACTTTCAGCCTCCAGAACTGTGAGGAAGAAATTTCTGTTGTTTCAGCCCCCAGTCTGTGGTATTTTGTTACAGCAACTCAGTAAACTAATACAGAACATAAAAAGAAAGTCAAGAAAATATCAAATATTAACTAAGAGAAAAAATCTAAATGACAGTAGAAAAACAGGCTGATGATGAGGAATAAAAGAAAAAGAGACAAAATAAGAGATGAGAGAAAAATAAAGAAATGTCTTCCTCCTTTTTTCTCATATCCTCCTACTTGTTTTTTTTTTTTTCTTTTACAAAAGGAGAAAGGTTTTTGGTTTTATTATTGTACAAGTGGAAAGGCCAAGTGAAGAAGTGAGCAATTATCCAGGGAACTGAATTAATATAAAAAGTGTAAATAATTCAGGTCAAATCTCTTTTTGCCCCTTAGCAATGCTTTTTAAATGACAGCATCTATACACTTGTCATAATCTTCCTTTTACTTGCCTCTGCAGATAATATTACTACCTCATCAATTCTAATATACTGGACTTAAGACATATCCAACAACTAAATTTCAGGAGCAAAGAAAAAAATAATGACCTTCTGATGAAACCATAGTAAAGAAAAAACCAAAACCTATGGGAAATTTATGTGAAATGCACCTTGCTAACAGATAAGATTATGCCATAATTTTACAGTTGAAATGTTCAGGATGTTAAACCATTTTTGCAAAATATGGTTTTAAGCGAAGTTGGGGAAACAAAATTTAGTACTTAAAAAAAAAGAGTAAAATCTTCCTGAAACTTATTTTTGTAAGAAGGCAAGAATCCTAACGTTTTTTTTTTTTATTGGCAACACATCCAGATGGTACTTAAGTCAATTTCCTGGATGGTCTGCAAATTTAAAAAGTTTGCAATGCACTAAAATGCCACGGCTTCTCCAGATTAGGAAGGAGACTTGAGAGAATTTGGTAAATTTAGGAATATGAATGTGAGACTAGAAAACTCACTCCTGACTCCTAGCAGATGTGTGCCACTGGACTGAACCAAACTCAAGCACATTTCTCAGCACAGTCAAGCCGTCTTTGCTCAGGGTGTAGAAGGTAAGATATCTTCTCTGCACCTATAGTTTTTATGGTTAAATTATGAAAACAAACATTTTTTGACAGGACATTTCTGAATAAGACTTGAATTTAGGGCTACGATTCTCAAAAGAGGGAAAGGAATATCAGAAATAGAATCTTCAAGGAGCTTTTTTAAAAGAAATCCACTTTCACATGTCCCCTTTTCCCAGTCGACAGTCCCCGGGGGGAAGGAGGAGGCCCCTGGTACTGATGGGAGTAGGTGACATTCCCTCAGGCCTGCATGGTGGGGGTGGAGAGAGGTTGAGAATCAATGACCTAGAGGAAACAGTAAGGAAAAATATTTTGTGGCAATAAGAAAGCATGTAAAAAAATGAGAATTCTCATCTTGGTTTTTGTTTCTTTTACTTTTACAAAACGATAGTTTTAAAACTTTCTTACAAAATTTTTTTGTAAAAAGACGTATAAATGACATGGGGGAGATGAGAATATATTTCTCTAATACAAAGGCATGAAAGTAAACAATATTTCAGGTGCGAGACAGCACACATGGCACATTATTCACTAAGACCAGCATCCTCTGAGTGAATCACTTCTCTTTCTTCCAACGCAGTACTATTGGCTGTGGGAAGCAATTCGCCTGAACTGCTATCTTTCGCTGCATCCAGCTTGGCAGCCTCCTCCCACGTGGTTGCCAGAGGCTTCCCGAGCGTTTCTGGAAGCATCAGTGTCAGCACGCCACTCACAAAGGCCACAATCCCAAGAAGCAACTAGAAGGAATTAAAATAATAATAATAATAATAATAATAATAATAAGTGACACATCAAGAAAGAAATGTACCCTTCAGAAAATAGTAGCCTCTAGAACTTTCTCAGAGGGCGACAGAATTGAATTTGACATAAAAGTTGTCATTTTTATTCCTCGGTGACAGTTATGGTTACTTATGCTGGATGGGGAGTTCTGGAACTCATCGAATGGGCTTAATCTGATCACTCATTAATTCATCATTAGCCACTGTGGAGCACCTACGCAATAAATCCCAGTTCCTGCCGGCATTATCATTCTTGCAGGCACTGTTCTGGGAGCTACACAAAGAATAAATCTCTGTCCCATCTTCCCAGACTCCAGAGTCTTTTTTTTTTTTGAGGAAAATTAGTCCTGAGCTAACTACTGCCAATCTTTCTCTTTTTTGCTGAGGAAGACTGGCCCTGAGCTAACATCCAGGCCCATCTTCCTCTATTTTATATGTGGGATGCCTACCATAGCTTGGTTTTTTGCCAAGCAGTGCCATGTCCACACCTGGGATCTGAACCGGTGAACCCCTGGCCACCAAGAAGCGGAACATGCACACTTAACCGCTGTGCCACAGGGCTGGCCCCCAAGACTCCAGAGACTTATGGAGAAACCCACCAGTTGAGTCTTGTATGGGGACTTGATGGTCAAGGACTGTCTTAGTCAACTCTGTTCCTGCCCCAATAATTGGTAGGCTGTCAGCATTTAATAAATGATGGGGAATGAATGCGTGCATGCACCAATCAATGCTTCAATGAACCAAAACCTACAGAATTTAGCGGGAAACACAACAAAGGCAATGGAAGCTAATTGCTTTTTTGTGGGGGAACGGCCATCTGATTTCCTATAAAAATTCAGTATTTCTTTACTTTCCAGATTTTGACACATAGAAGGCAACCTTCTAGACTAGCACCAACGTGTTTCCCTTTAAATATGCAAACTATATTAAAAATTAAAGTCTACAGATCTATTCTCTGTTGATCATTATGAAGATATTGGGTGCATTTTAGCACTAAATCTCTACACAGTCTGTAAAAATGCATTCTGTCCTTACATAATTTAAACTCCTTTAGCAAAAAAATGCTGCCTGGGAAGAACCCATAAAAATAAATTAAGGCATGGTTTTTCTGATAAATCTACATACTTGGTGTTTTTATAGCCTCTGAGAATGAGAAGCATGAAGCGCACAGAGCAGCAGTGATGTGACGTGAGGCCACATCAGTAACAGATGTGACCTGGGAGGACAGCTTTATATTTGCTTTGCAGAACGCTGATAACCTAATTCTCAGAAATATGTGACTAAGCCTAGAAGCAGTAGTGGAATTTAAAGTGATATTCCAAAGGGGTTTGAAAGGCATTGTCTAGTGTCTTGAGACAGAGCAGGTATAATCCACTAATGTAGACACCCCAGAGGAGCCCCACATCGGGGTCTGAAAAACACAGAAGTCTAAACGTCTAGAGAAGTCTAAAAACACGGAAGAATTAAATGGAAGATCCAAGAGGGGACTAGATTTTTCTTTTTAGCTCAGTAGTACAAAGGATAGTGAGGCAGTAAACAAACCCATAACCCTCCAGCTCCCCTCTCACTCTAAGACGGAGGCCTGGTCTCCTGCTGCCCTGGCCAGCTCCCTCCACCACCACAAAGGTCCCAACAAGCCCACCTCCCCACCTCTCTGTCCCTGGCCAGAAGAAGCCCTTCATCCCTTCCAGCTTCCATCGCCCCTCCCCTCCTCCTCAGGGGTCTCCCTCCATGCTGCCCCTCCTTCTCACATACTTTTGAGCTTCTCCTTTCCAGGGTTATTTTCCCTTGGGAAGAATAAAAGTTCTCAAGCCTCTTATAATCTCTGTACCCACCCTGCAGGGGAACTTATACTTGCTACGTGTGTGGCCTTGGGCAAGTTACTGAACTTTTCTGCTCCTCAGTTTTCTTATCTGTAAAATGGAAATAATAATACTGCCTGCCCCAAAGGACTGAAAGGATTAAGTAATCCACTTAAACGAGTGCCTGGCCCAGGGTAAGCAGTCAATAAATGCTAGTTATCATTACTGCTACTTTATCTTATAAAACGAGCAAAAGAGGGCCTCCGCCTTGGCCCACACCCACTCCAGCCTCTGGCCCATCCTCTCCACAGCAGTCACTGCTTCCTCTCTCAGTCTCTTCCGGTCCTGCCCTGGCGGCAGCGTGGCACACTCCTGCCACCCACAGAAGCTGCTCTTCCCAGGCCACAAATTCCTAGCTGCCAAATCCGAGAGATGTTTTCCTGTCCTGCTCTTTCTAAGCCGCTGTCCTCTCCTGCCTTCTCACCTCCTCTTCTCCTTTGAGATTCTGGTCACCTCCCTGCCTCCCTCAGTCTCTGCCCTGGACCCCTCCCTCTATCACACCTTAAATGCGTTGCTCCCAGGGTTCTGCTCTTCAGTCTCGCTCAGTCCTCCCTCCCCTCATCATAAGCCGACTCCCAAATCTGTGTCACCAATGGACCGTCCCCTGAGCTCCAGACCTGTAGAGGCATCTGCCTCCTGGTCACCTCCCCCAGCCATCCTGCAGGCATCTCCCACTCAACACACACAATTCCAGGGCACTGTCCTTCCCCACCTCAACACTGTTCATCCTCTTGGGTTCCCTCCAGCCCTGAGATCCACTCCTGCACCCCTCCACCCGCTCCACCAAACCCAGCTGGTCATCAGGTCCTTTTCCATCCTGTCCTCTCCAACCCAGCCAGAGTCCAAATTCACTTCTGTTCTGACCTCCTTTGAGATCCTTGCTCATCTTTCCAGACTTCTCTCCTGACTCCCACAACCCACCCTGGGTGCTAGCAATAATGCTTGCACCCAAACCCAAAAGGCCATGTTCCTTTCCCCTCTAAGCCTTTGCCTTTCTTTTCTCTCTGCCTGGAATTCTCTTCTCTCCTCCACCAGGCTGACTTTTACTGGCCCCTCAGATACAGATCAAAGGCCTCCTCGTCCAGGAAGCCTCCCCTCCGGCCCTCGCCTGGGTTGGTAGCCCTCTCCTATAACCCCATTACCCCTCATCTCTGGGGCTTGTGATGGTTCTGCTCTTCTGCCCTCCCCACCACGCTGGCTGTCTCTCAGGACAGAGGCTCTCTCTTTCATCTCTGCTCCTTAGCATAGTTCAAAATCAACACTCAATAAACCTTTGCCAAATGAGCTGATGAGTACAAAAATGATATGAATTAGGTATTCACTTTTTTTTAGATTACTAGAAAATAAAGGTTGATAGTAAAAGCATCAGAATGAGTGATTTTCATGTGCTTCTTTTTGAAAGAGAAAATACAAACTCGTCTTCTCAGTTAGCGTTTCCATTCCTCAAAATGAAAACCCTGCTTCCCGGGCAGTCTGATGTCCACAAATAAGCTTAGTGAGAAATTTAATAATTTATTTCTTAACCATTAAAAACAACAAGCAACATCTGTTGCATCCAAAGGACGCACATTCACAGAGTATTTCTGCAAAATACACAAGACCCTGCTCACAGAGGTTGTCTTGGGGAAGGGGACTGGGGTGGTCAAGGTCAGGGGGAGGCGGGGCTCATCCCTCTGCATTATTCCCTTTTGTCCTCTTTGTTTGCTTAACCTGGGAAAAGGTGTGGTATCTGGGTTTGAATCAAAGCTCTGTCGCTTTTAAGGGGTATGACCTTGGGCTGACAACTACTTTCTGTACGTCAGTCTCCACATCTGCAGAATGGGGACAGCAATAAACAGACTCTGCACTCTGTGAAGACTAATGTTTGTAAAGCACTTAAAATAGAGCCGTCACATAACAAGTACTGTTTAAGTCCCTGTTAAATAAAAGTAAAAATCCCTTTTAACTCCATAGTCCCTAATTGACTCTTATGGATGTCCCTTTAAAAAAACCCTTTATTTGGTTTTTTAGTAATTTTATAGCAGTTTGCTTTTATAGATCTATCTTCTTCAAAGTGTTTCAGCTTATTGTTTTAAAAAACACCTTTCCCATTTTCATCTCTTATTGACAATAAGGAATGCAAAGTGCTAGCACAAAGGAGATGCTTCTAGAAAAGTCCATGCCCTAAACAGGATGGTGGACTCTCCAAAAACATCTCCCTCTGCAGGCCGGGCAGCCCGAATCAATTCTCAACCTCAGAGTGAGCCCAGGAGGAGGCTGGCATCACAGCACCCCAGTCAAGCAAAATTGACTGCTCGCCTGTCACTGGGACAGGACAGGACCACGCTCGGCCCGTGAGGCCAAGAGCAGACGCACACCGCCTGTGTGTGTAGGCGATTCCAGGCAGCATCAAACTCTTCGTTTCATTACTTGTGAAGTTTTGTTACAGTGTATTTTAGAAAAACACAGAACTAGTATAACACCCGTGATCTCACTGAGATTACTGGCCAGGCTATTTGATTTAAAATATTACGTAAATTATAACACGAGTGGCACACAAGGTGAGGGAAACCCTTTGCTGGACCCACCCATGGGGATACAAAATGCCCAATCCTGCAAGAGTTCAACAATTTAACTGGGGGACAAAGACACACATGCAAATAACAAAGCCAGCCCGTGACTGTGGCCTGGGAAAGGAGCGCACGTGAAATGCTACACAGACGTGGGAAAGGTGGGGGGGGTGGGTGATTGGATCAGGGTGGCCCTCTTGGAGAAGTGGGGCTTGCTCTGCGTCATGAACGACACCTGGGGGCTGCGTCATCTAAACTCCTGCAGTGTTTGGCCTCGAACCAGCCGTTGGGCAGAGGCGGTGCAGGAGGATGAACTGGGAGTGAGGCAAGTGGGTCCAGTTCTGGCCTCATTTTTCCAGCTGTGTAAGTCACAGCCACTAAAGCTCTGGGGCAGCCTCATCCAGAAGATCCTGGCCAGGCAGCTGCTCTCCACGGAGGCTGGGGAGACCCCGTGAGAGGGACCGTGTTGTGTCAAGGCCATGGACTTGATGGAAATACTGGGAAGAAATCACTGCTTTAACTCATCTTAGGGTTCCAGGAGCCCTTCAAGGCTCTGTCTCAGATGAGTTCACGCTTCTGAGGCAGCGTGAGTCCTAACGGTTCTTGGATTTACCTCTTAAAAACTAAAAAAAGGTCTATATCTGTCTACCTATGGCAAAATGTGATATAAGTATAAAAATGCATAAAATAAATGCACAGTTTAAGAATTACTCATAAAGCAAGCACATGTTCTTTGTTTTTTTAAAAAATTGGCACTTGAGCTAACAACTGTTGACAATCTTTTTTTTTCTTCTTCTTCTTCCCAAAGCCCCCTGGTACATAGTTGTATATTCTAGTTGTGGGTCCTTCTAGTTGTGGCATGTGGGATGCCACGTCAGCATGGCTTGTTGAGCGGCGCCATGTCCGCACCCAGGATCCAAACTGGCGAAACCCTTGGCTGCGGAAGCAGAGCACTCGAACTTAACCACTTGGTCACGGGCCGGCCCCTGCATCACGTTCTTGATCACCCACAATAAAACACTGTTTGCATTCCAGAAGCTTCCTCTCCCTCCTCCACAGTGGTCCCGGTTTAGTCACTTAGCCGTATCTGTTTTCCTGGTTTTAACACCACTTTCATGGCTATAGAATGTCCATGTAAACCTGTTCCCATTCTCTTAAAGGAAAAAAAGGGGGAAAAGATACATGGACGTTTGGCAGGGGGATGGGAGAGAAGCATTCTCTGCTGAGGGCACGTTTAGGCAGAGGCGTAAGAGGAGAGCAGGTGGGAGGTGAATGAGAACAGGGTGAGTGTGGAGAGGAGGGGAAGTGTGTGAGGAAACAAAACAAATAGGGACAATCGGCAGGGGGTTGCTCTGGAAAGAACTGGAATATCAGGCAGAGTTTGCATTTTATTCCGAAGGTGAGGGCGCAGCTGGATCAGAGCTGCGGTTCAGCACACTGTTCTGATGAGGTAGGGGTGGTGCAGCGCAGGGAGGAGACCCTGGAGCGAGGCAGAAGGTGAAGAGGAACTGAACCGGAAGCAGGCAAGCGAGGGTGGTTTTGAGAGAGGAGGTCAGGATTTGATGTCATGGATTGGGAGGAAAGGGGGAAAGAAGAACAGAGTGAATAAAAAGCTGATGCTAAAGTGTCATGCTGGAGGCCACTGACTCTTAACCCAAAGTGGGAGATAGGAGGAGGAGGAGGGAATTGAAGTCACCAACCAATTCCATTTAGGAAACGGTGAATTTGTTGCAAGACACCAGGAAGACTATCCATGAGGCTAGTGGAGGGATGGTTTGCAGCTGGGAAGAGAAGTCAGAACTTAGGAGAGGTTATCCATGCAGGGATTGGCAAAGACGTCTAGGACAGCTCTTGGAGAATGAGTCTATTTCAGGGGCAATCAGAGGAGGAGGAGCACTGAGAGAGGGAACGGCCTGGAGAGCTACAGCAAAGAAGTGTGGGGGAGGTGGGGGAGGGCCAGTAGACCCAGAGCTCGCCCCAAAGGCACTGCAGCACCTGGGGCCACCCCAACCCCATGCCTCCACCCTCCTCATCTCCAAACCCCCCCACCCCGCCCCGTGTCCCATCTTCCTCCTGACCAGAGCATCATGCTAATTCCAGGTGTACAACAGTGCTCCACATGAGTCCCTACCTGTGGAAATCTGCAAACTGAACACAACTGCTCTCACTCTTCATAACCCGGCAAACAGCTCATGCTCCCGGAGCCGGAGGAGGAGCCAGAGGAAGCCTACAGGAATCCAGCCCATGAAGAGCCCCACACGTTTCAGGTAACCGGAAAACCACAGATCCCTAAACCTCTGCATCAGGCACCACAGAATCCTTCAAGGCGCAGGCAGCCTTCAGAATTTGCCTTCACCAGCAGGCACACAGTGGGAACACAGAGGCGAGGGCTGGGGGTGGGAGGCAGCCTGCGATCCAGGGGGAGGTGCCATCCAGGCAGAAGAGCCATCTGGGAGGAGGAGCTCGGGCTAGGCTAGGCCAGGTGATGGAGACCGAGGCACTTAGGAACGACAGAGACCAGAGGTCTCCCTGTGCAGTCCTGCTTCATGATATGGATGAAGAGGCCCTTCTCTGGCAGGCAAGTTTAATTAACAGCTCACCAGTGGTGGAAGGCAGTTGACAAACAAGAAAACAGCAACCACCGTCCTGCTTACCGACTGGTGAGCTGCTGATAAGGTTTCTACAAACCCCCATAATGGAATTATAAATTGGCTTCCAATAAATAAACATGTAGAAGGCAGGTAGCTGCTGTGCCTTTCTGCTGTCTCAGTAAGGTTCTATAAGCCGATGCGCACCTGTGGCATGAAGATCCAAACGCTGGAGAGAGAAACGCAGAGAGGGGCCACGATGCTCCCCACACGGCACACCATGCTGCCACTTCCCACAGCCAGCGACCTGAAAACATGAGGAGGATTAAAACAGCAGCAAGAAGGCAAGACAAGCAGAGCATGAATATTGTAGAGAGTGATGGCAAGACTTCCTGTAGCCTCCGTCCACCCTCCCAGCAGAGAATACATAATAAAACTGAAGCTCAGCCTAATATATTTGGAAATAATTTACTTTAATTTTTTAAGGGGCTAGCCCCATGGTGTGGTGGTGAAGTTTGGTGCACTCTACTTGGGCAGCCCAGGTTCATGGGTTTGGATCCCAGGCGTGGACCTACACCACTCATCAGCCATGCTGTGGTGGTGACCCACATATAAAGTAGAGGAAGACTGGCACAGATGTTAGCTCAGGTTGAATCTTCCTCAGAAAGAAAAATAAAAGAATTACTCGTGACTTATATCCATGTTCTGTGAAACGGTGATGTCTCCAAGCATGCAGATAAGACAATTCAAGACCAAAAAAAAAAGGGCAAACCATTCTTCGTCTGCTATGCAGATGAGGCTCTTATGAATGTTCATGCAGTCTAATACTAAGGATAACATCAATCTTCTAGAGCAGGAATTTGTCTGGAGTAGGGAGTGGAAATTTGGGAAAGTAAAATATCTATATCTATGGGACATTCTATTTCAATTTTTTAAAGACAAGCAGTATCTTAATGTGCTTTTCTTCAAAAGTTACTTAAAGAAACCTTATAGAATGTCCAGTAGGAAGGAAAGACTATGCTTTTCATGCAAATAAGTATCTCTTATTAAGAGCAAGGAAAGAGGCCCCAGGAGAAACCAAACCTGCCAGACACCTTGATCTCCCCGGACTTCCAGCCTCCAGAACAGGGAGAAAATACATTTCTGTTGTTTGAGCCACCCAGCCTTTGGTGTTTTGTCATGCACGCCCTATCAAACTAATACAACTGACATCAGAACACCAAGACACACACTCTGAGAAAATTAGCCTTGAGTCATACAGGGAGTCAGTGGGAGCCAAGTGCATTTGAGATTTAAAATGGCTTTAGGATAACAGGGTGTTATTTCAAAACAATTTCTTTAATAGCCTTGCTGATGAGGTATCGACAAAAGCCACGGATTCAGAATTAGCATCATCTTATAACTTTGCAGCATCTCAGAGCTCTGGTAACGTCTATGGAAAGAAAGCGTTTATACCTAACGGCCAAATATTATGAAATGATGAGTAAGTGAAAGATAAGAAAACAGAAAAACAAGTGACTCTCACCTTACGAGGGTCGGATATAGCTCTGCTGTATAAAGGTAAATGAGGCCAAATGCTGCCCCGATAGCAAATTTCCCAGCCATAGTTGCCCCCACGCTCCAAATATGGTAATCCTGAAAAAACAAATAGCAAAATGGACCATGATAAGTAATATTTTTAAAAGAAACATATAAAATCTTTAAAACTTTCTAATTCTCCAGTATTTTTCAGAACAATGAAGAGTTTTATTTTTCTGTTTGAGTTTATTTTGTCAACTCTACTCATGGTCTGCAAAAGCTTTCCATCTTTATGAAATTTAGAGGAAGGTTTTATTGTACCTCCCCCCAGGCTTGGAGATTTCAAATGATCCAATAGGGACAGCCATTTGGGAAGCTGACTTTGGAATGAGACACACCCAGACAGTGCTGGTTCCACCAGTAATTGATCCAGCAGAATGAATCAAAGAGCCATAAAAACAAATTGTGCCCTTTGTGGCGGTAATCCCCTAGCTTATAAATGATCTTCAGAAAATAATCTCAAAGTGGTAACTAAACTATTACAAGAGACTTTTTTTTTTTTTGGCTGATGCATTCCTCAACAGCAAAACCTCTCAGTGCCTCCAACTCAGTCTCGGTGTCCCTAATGTGCGCCACTTCCAGCACTGGCTCACAGACAGCTCCCATATTCCATCCTTTTCTCTCCTCCCCTATCTGCCAGCTGGATGTCGAGACCCAGGTGACCTTGGAGCCCATGTGTTGAGGATGCCAGTGCCTTTGTCAACCTGAGTCCCTGAATGACGCCATGGAGCCAAACACCCCCTTCACCACTCCCACTGTCACCAACCAGGTACACCCACATCGAACTTTCTGTGAGTAAAAAGTAAATGTCTATTGTGTGAAGTCACTGAGATTTGCGGATGCCTCTATTAAAGGAGCTAGTGTCACCTTAATTAATATTGTAGACAATGTGTTGAATGAATTAACGTGACTTGAAAAAAATTGTATTGTGTTGACACTACCATTTGAGGAGAAATTTTACTAGAGGGGAGAAATTTATGGTTAAGGGTTAGTGCTCTTTTTCTATAAATCCCCATCAGCCACTTTCCTGTCTGCTCCGTTATCACTGGTGCTTAACCACTGTAGAACTCCAAGATTCTGGGTTTCCCCTAAATCTTCACCAGCTCCAGGGCAGCTGCTATCAACTCAACTAATATAATTGCAAACTACTTAAAAACACAAATCCAAGAAAGGGATAGATGACATCCCCTCAAATTGGCAGAGGCCTCCTTGTCCTGATGAGCTTTACTGCATTCATGTCAGTTGTATACCAATCACCTGGAAATTTCAGTTACAGAAAACATTCGATTCACCAACCCTGATAATTAAGTGCGGGGTTACTATCAAAGGGAGTCACTGGTTGGCTTAAATTAAATATCAAACAATAAGCAAATTTTAAAATGCCTTGCCCTAAATGTGGAGACACCATTGCTTAATAATTATATAATGACTGGAGAAAATGATGTAAAATAAGAAAAGGGAAACACAGGTTCTGATAACGTTTATTCGGGGAAGAGGCAGAGTGCTTCTGGATGAAGAGGTAGTCTAGGGATGGAGTTGGCCAAAATACAGAAATTCGAGTCATTTCAGTAGTTTACGGCAGTGTTTCTCACTAAAAATGTGCATTTATGCACACTAGGAACTGGAAACTACTAATCTACCACAATGAAAAACAAGACTGTTTCAACTGGAGCAATCTTGACTCCAAGACTCATCGTATCCTTCAGCCGTCTACAGGGCTCCCTCCTTCCTTCAGGTTCCTCATCAAACGTCGCCTTCTCTGAGAGGCACGCCATCCTCGATCACCCCAGATGATATAAATAGTGCACAGGTGTGCCCCCCACCCCTGCACCACCACAGTCATTCTCTATCCCTTATACCGTTTTGTTTTTCTTTATTTTACTTATAGAAACTTGATTCTTCAGCACCTGGCACATAATAGATGCTGGATAGATCTCTGCTGAAAGAATAAATGAATGAAGGTTTAAAATGATGATAATCCCTGGAAGGCGTGATCTCCTTTCTTCTCTCAAGATTACTGTGTCTACAAAATACAACACTGGCCATCTCTGGGAAGTGATGGATTATGGGCTTTTTTTTTTTTTACATTTCTTTTTTTCCTTAAATTTTCTACAGTAAACATGTACTACTTAAATAACAGAGAAAGTATGATTTTTCAAAGAAAACATATTTTTAAATATTAGGTATATACTCTGTCCATATGTCTGAATTGATCTTCATACTTACCGTAATAGACTAAAAGTTCTCCCATCAAATTATCATAGTCCCTAAATAAACATAAAATAACTCACGTTGGGGATCACCATAATCACGCCACAGATCAGTGCAGTTGAGATAAGGGAGAAGGCCAGAATGTTTCTTCTCCCCAAACTGTTCATCCCCACGCACACGAACACGTAGGCAGGAATTTCCACTGCACCTGTCATTGAGCCAAAGGGCCGTGTATTAGCCATGGCATCCAGCTGTACGAAGGAAGCCTGCCTTCTAACCCCCTATCCACAAGGAATGATCCGCCCTCTCCCAGCTCCCAGGGGCCTCTAAACACCATCCAATGACTTCCTGAGAGGCAGGAAGCCCTACCACTTTTAAACTGTGAAATGCAGTAACGTTCACATAATCCACCTAGTGCTTATCCCCTGTCTTAGGGATCTCATCCCCTACTAGGCTGGAAGCTCCCCAGGACACGCACGGCATGGTGTCTGGAGGACCAGCCTGTTGAATGGATAAATAAGTAAATTAATAGACAACATTGGTAATTTCTGATCTTTGGTTTCTTGTGCTTGGCAGAACTAGAGGGAAATTTTTCTATCAGCAACTTCAAACTTAGAAGCTAAAGTAGAAAACTCAGTGTCGGCTAGGTCCATAAGCTAATGATAATTGCTTGATGGATTTTAAACCTAAAAGTAAACATTTCAAAATGTGATATGAGGGGCTGGCCCAGTGGCATAGTGGTTAAGTTCAGCGCACTCTGCTTCGGTGGCCTGGGTTCGTAGGTTTGGATCCCGGGTGTGGACCTACACCACTCGTCAGCAGCCATCCACATACAAAACAGAGGAAGACTGGCACAGATGTTAGCTCAGAGCCAATCTTCCTCAAACAGGAAAAAAAAAAAGAGGAAGATTGGCAACAGATTTTAGCTCAGGGCAAACCTTCCTCAGCAAAAAATAAATAAACAAGTAAAATCTAACATGAATCCCCTGAGGAACAGGAACTTTGTCTTGGACCTCTTTTTCCTCCCCTGCACCAAAAAATTAAAGAGTTGAATCCATTAAGTGCATAATTGACCTAAAAGCCCTTCCCTTGAAGAAGCAAAGTTTGAATCTTAGGTCCAGAGCAAAAAAGCTTTCTATCTATCAGCCAGAATGAAACAGGGAGCACGCAAGAAGATCTCTCAGCAAAACCAAGCACACTCAACAATCTCCTTTGGGAAAATGTCACTGTTTACCAGCCCAGATCTTCCACAGCATGCAAAGTTCTGTTGTTTCCTCCCTCTGCAGCTCGCCTAACCTCAGGACGTGATGCCCCACTGCCTTTTAGGAGGGATGTGCTTTCCTCCACTCAACCACGGAAAGTTACAAGCACCTGGAGAGGCAGGTCTGGGTGGACAGGTCTCCCACAGCTTCTGCAACACGTCATAGGGGTGCACGCATATTTTCTGAGTGAACCTCCTTGGCAGGACATCAGAAATTAAACTCCGTTGCAGCCACTTAGATAAAAACTGGCTCAAGCAAAGGCAAAAAAGGACATTCGGAGCCCAGTTGGAGAAACAGTCTCTCTCCCTCTCATTAACATGAAAAATAAACAGCTCCGGACCCTGCTGTAAGGTCCACGCTTGCGGGCCAGGACAGTACGTGCATCTATTACTGTACTCTTTTTTTTTTTTTTTTAAGAGTTTATCAAGCACTTTTCAAGATCAACTAAGACAATGATCATCAAAAGAGCCTCATTCGAGTGGACCTGGATTATTATCCCCACTTTACAACTAAAATGAAATGATTTGAGCCAAATGAGTAAGGGACAGCTCAGGGACTGGACAAGAGGTCTTCGGGAGCCAAGGCCTCTTTCCTGCAGCCTCCGTCCATGTCTGACCCAGGGCTCTCCTCTGTACAGGACTGTGTGCAGGGCCACCAACCAACTTGCCGGAGTCTAGCAAGGCTGGGCAGGAACTGTGAAACAGCGGAAGAGACATTTAAAGTATATGACACTGATGTTTCTTGAGTTGTTGCTTCAGGATACCAAAACTACATCTAATTTTTGGCTTGACTATGTCTGGGATAGAAAAGATGCAAGCAATGAGGCCCAACCCTTCTGGGATTAGGACAATGTGCCATTTCTTTCTTCACTTTATAATATATGATCTCTCTAATTGCTCAGACCCCATTCTGCTCCCATCACCACATAACCCCAACGGTGTGTCTTGAAGCTCCTGAAGCATTTGTCACTTGCAAGCAGCACAAAACCAGAGCTGAAATTCCCACTAGCCCCAAGCCATCTCAGGAGATGAAAACTTGTTCAAAAATTTCACAGCATAGCAGTATTGACTAGAAGAACCTGTCAGCAAGAGGATTACTGGGAAGGGTAATGACATGGAAAATCCAAGACAGTAGAGAATATAAAAGCATGGATCTTTGTCTTGGAAACATTTTTATATTTATGAGATTGCCCAGCTTCTTGAGAATTTATATCAAAATTAAGAAACTATATCATAAAGATCTAAAACTCCAGCTTTCCTAAGCTTTCCCATACCCCACCCCACTTGACTCTCCCACCATACGCTGCGCTAAGAATACTGCATCATTTCTCAAAGTGACACACAGAATGGGTTTGAAGGCAAGATGGGCTCCTTCTACAAACTTGTTGGTTTGCCCAAAAAGAAGTTCTTTTCTTAAAATGATTTCTCTGCTAATTCCTGCTGTGCTATAATAAACAAAAGCAGATGTGTCATCAAAGCACTTTAATGAGAAGATATAATATCCATGTATAAATATTTTATTTATTTTATTTTATTTTTGAGCAAGATTAGCCCTGAGCTAACATCTGCTGCCAATCCTTCTCTTTTTGCTGAGGAAGACGGGCCCTGAGCTAACATCTGTGCCCATCTTTCTCTATTTTATATGTGAGATGCCTGCCACAGCATGGCTTGATAAGCAGTGTGTAGGTCCACGCCTGGGATCTGAACCAGCGAACCCTGAGCCACCTAAGCAGAGTGTGTGTACTTAACTGCTACACCACCAGGCCGGCCTCTGCAAAAAGTTTAAAGCAAGATTTTCTGAGAATAATATCAAATACAGACAGCCTACATGGAAATAACCAGGAGTTAAGACTAGATGGACAAACGCAGATTTCCAATATTTCTCTCAGGTTTGGCATGAATTTGGTTTTCTCTGGGAGTCATGTCTCAGGCTCTCCAAGCAATATCTAAAGCCATTTTAACCTGCTACTAAAATGAGAGAATCATGACAATGCAAATGACAGTTACAGGATTTAAGTTATTTTGCTGGCTAAAATTGCTGCATTAAGGACATTTGAAGGTAGGAAGATATCAGAACATCTCCAAGACATATTAAATTTTAAAAGGAAAGCAACTTACGAAGAACAATATGCTGTGAATGATCTCATTTATGTTAAAATAGAAAACCTTTATCTGCACAAATGTATGGAAATGCACAGAAAGAGAGCTGAAAGGCTACAGCCAAACATGGGAGTTACCCCTAAAAGAGAGTTCTGAGGTGGGGGTGGGCTTAAAGGAAGGAAGCAAGCAAGGAGAAGAGGCAGAAAAAGGAGAGACCAAACTCTTCTGACGGTTAGCACCTTTTGAAAATTAAATATATGTATGTTACAATATAATAACACTTAAAAGAGATCATAATAATAGAGTTGATAGTATTGTTCCTGGTAGAAAAAAGACAATAAAAACACGGTAGGAACTTACTTCCATGCCACACTTAAATACAACGTAACTACTTACCCATGAGGAAGAGGTTTAAATATTCATTGCCTCCTAAATTAACAGAATTCAAGGAGAAGGAGTAGAATCCCAAAGACCCCGTGAACCAAATCAGCCAGAGAGTAAGAGTCCTTGTTCCAATATTCCAGTCATAAAACAGATCTAGTAGGTTGTGCTTCTTAACTTCAGTGGGCTTGTTACCAACAGGACCGTTTAGATCCAGTGACAAAAGTTCCGCCAGTTTACAGGAGCTGGTCCCATTCCACTTGGCGATCGTATCGACTACCTGTTGTGCTTCTTCATATCTTCCCTCTGAGACAAGCCAAAAAAGTGTCTCCGGGAGCATCCAACAGCACAGGACAAAGGGGACAGTCATTGTGGAGAGGACTATCTGATAGATCCACCAGGTCCTGACCAAGTAACCCGTCAAAGCCACTACCATCGCTCCAATTGCAAAAAAGGAATGCATATGGATGGATGCCCACGTCCGAGATTTCAGGCCAATAAATTCTGTCACGTAGACAAACACCACCACGAGATAGCCACCTGCAGCCTGAAAAACAGAGGGGGGAGGGTGGTCCAGACTTAGGGTCACATTTACAACGACCGGGGAGTCTGATCTCTCTGCAAATTATGCACAGGCAGGAAAGAAAATGACACAATTGTTCTCTGAAACCTATATCACATTTATAAAATGGCATTTAATCCAATTCATCTTTTTTTTTTAAATGGGTCCTTTCATTCTTCCTCTACCTTCTTCAACCCAAATGAGCGGTTATATATGATATAATGCTAGACGTTGCCTTTTGTTTCATTTAAACGTTCCCTTACAGTGTGAATTTATTTCTCAGTTCCTTGTAAATGTGCATATCAATTAATCTACATGCAAGCAGTCCTTATTATTAAATCCTAAATTGTTAAATGGGGACAAAAACTTATGGTAAAAACATGAGCATAAAAAATTATGAACAAAAATAAATGGGGACAAAAAAAGCAGGAAGAAAAAAGATTTGATCAAAACTTTATTTTGACAGACAAAGAAAAAATAGACATATTGTATTTCATGAAAATTAAAAACTTCTGTGCATCAAAGGACTCTATCATCAGAGTGAAGTCACATATCTGATAAGAGATTAATATCCAGAATATATGGTGAACTCCTAAAACTCAACAACAAACAAACAATCCAATTCAAAAATGAGCAAAGGATGTGGATTTCTTCAAAGAAGATATACTAATGGCTAATAAGCACATGAAACGATGTGCAATGTCACTAATTATTAGGGAAATGCAGTCAAAACCACAATGAGATAGCACCTCATAGCCATTAGAATGG